AGGTTCTCTTGATGTTGCTGTACAAAACTTTTTGGCAAATTCTTGATTTTATATTCTTTTAATATTATGCCAAAAAGGGTTTATAAGATTCGATTTTGAAGTGGCAATGCTATGTTAGGTACAGATTGATCCTAAAATTTTTGCACTTCAATAATAATATTTGCAATTTTGATTTAATCTCATTCACTATTAGGCAGGCTGATTTACTATAAGTTTCATAAGTTTAATTTGTTATGTCAAAAATTTCTAGTTCTTCATATAGATATTCATCATTGCCAATATTATAGCATCTTTCTACTTTATATCGAGGATGCATATCATTAACAAATGTACGAATACAATCAGTGTATCTTTAATTAATTTCTTAATATGAGTGATTTCATTCGCTCTATAAGTTTCTGTTCTATTTTTTCACAAAATTTTTTGATTTTCTTGATGTTGCTGTGCAAGACTAGATATACGGGCCGATGCCAAGCGCTTGGGCCAACCGGTCGACCGAGCCGACCATATTATTAAAAAATTTTTAGTCAAACCAAAATCACAAAACTGTCCTATAGAATAATCTCCTATCGGTAATTTCAGTAATTTCGGTAATTTCAGTAATTTTACTGAACAAATTGCAATATCTCCAAAAATTCCCGACAACCATGCTCATGTTTTATGTTGGTTGACTGTCTACCGTCTCAAAAATTTCTAAATTACACTTTCTTTTCGTTCCCACAAAAAATTGTTTATCCCCAGTAATTTTGACCAATCAAAATTTAAGATCAGGTGCTACATGTAAAATGAAAACCAAGAAAACCGTGTTATAGTTAGGGTTAGAATTAGAACAATATGGCATCTATTAGTAAACGTTACGAGGAATATTTTTAACAAGGCAGTTTCCTAATTAAAAATTAGTTATTTTTGTTTTTATTGTAAAAAAGTGGTTTTGTCTCGATTTTTACATTACACCTGATCCTGAAATTCGATTGGTCAAAATAACAAGGAAGAACAATTTTTTGTGGGAGAGTCTATCTTTCCTTTGATTCTGACTTAATGCTGTGAATCCAGCCAAAAGTTCTGGCAACTTTCATCAATTATCTCGGTAATTCACTATTTAAAACCCTAACTTATCTTAGTCGGCCCACCCGGCCTGTAAAGGTGTGGGTCGACCCTCTGCCTGCTCACCCGAAGAACGATGGGTCGGGGTCAGCCTGTATCACTATGCAAGACCTTTTGGCAAATTCTTAATCTTGTCATTAAAATTGCACCACATTGGTTTAGTCAGCTCAATAAAGAACTTTGTAAGGTCTGATTTTGGAAGTAACAATATTATTTTAGATACAGATTTATTAACTTGATCCTTAAATGTTTTCACTTTTATAGTTATAGTTGCAATTTTTAATTTAATCCCATTCACTATTAAGCAGAATGATTCACTATAAGTCTCGTAAGTTTCATTTGCTATTTTATCAGAAAATTTCTCCAATTCTGATCTTCTTTAGCTCTTCGTATAAATATACATTAATGCTTTTATCGTTATATCCCTCTACTTTATATTGAGGATTCATATTATTAACAAGTGTATGAAAATCATTATATACATTTTTGGTCAGTATAAACGTTGTTCCGTTCACTGCAAAAATCTCTTGATGTTGTTGAAAAATCTTGACAATATTATAAAAATTGCTCCACAATGGTTGGGTTAGCTCTTTAAATTACTTTGTAAGGAGTGATAATGTTATTTTAGATACTGATTCATTAACTTAATCCTTAAAAGTTGTACATCTATAGTAATAGTTGCAAATTTTAATTTAATTCCATCCACTATTGAGTGGACTGATGCACTATAAGTTTTGCAAGTTTCATTTGCTATTTTAACAGTAAAGTTCTCTATTTCCCAATTTTTTTCAAAGTCTTCTAGTTCTCCGTATAAACATGCATCAATGCCAACATTATTGCATCTCTTTACTTTATATTGAGGATTCATATCATTAACAAGTATATAAAACTTTGTGCATCTTCGGCTAATTTCTTATCACGAATGTCTTCATTTGCTCTTATAGTTCGCTATTTTATTTCTCCGCAAAAATTTTTAAGATTTTCTCGATTTTCTGTATAAAACCCTTTGGTGAATCCTTAACCTTGTTATTAAAATTGCAGCATAATGATTTAGTCAGCTCTTTAAGAGATTTTGTAAGAATTGATTTTGAAAGTGGTAACATTATGTTGGATTTTTAACTTGATCATGAAATTCTTGCTCTTCCATAGCTATACTTGCAACTTTTATTTTGATCTCATTTGTTATTGATCGGACGATTTGCTGTTATAAGTTTCACAAGTTACTTTTAATATTTTATTAAAAAGATCTTCCAAATTTTTTTTAAAATTTTCTGGATCTTTGTATAAATATGCATCAATGCCTTCATCATTGCATCCCTCTACTTTATATTGAGGATTCATATTATTAACAAGTTTGTGGAATTCATTCTGTGAATCTTTAGCCAACGTCAGGGCGGCACCCCGAAATTCGGGTTGATGATCAATATCATTGCCGTAGCATATAACTCCGGTCAAATTATATTATGTGTTACATAATGCAGGCCAATCTACAGCTTATTTACACAGACCAGCCATTCAAAATCGGTTACTAATTACGTATATGCTGGCACCCCTTGAATTGCGAATCAGATTTCGAGGTCAGGTGCAACGTAACACGATCAAGAAAATTCAAAACAAATGTTCGTTCGCTTACTTCTCGAAATTATACATAAGAAACCACTTTTGGTGCTCTAACAAAAAGGTTTCGATGGGCAATATTACTATACAAACTACCATTCTCTAGCCCATAACTCTAACATGATCGAATTTTAAAGAATTTGTGCTGCGCCATAAACCTAGCACACATACAAGTAATGCTATATGCTGCAGCAGCAATGGCAATGACCATCCACCCGAACTTCGGAGGGGCCGCCCTGGTGTTGTCGTCAATCTCCGGGTTATCATTAACTTTGAGAATTCTTTAAGCGATATGAATGTCTCAGAAATGTCAACTTCCGTTGTTAACTGGATCCGTAGCAGAAGAAGCCGTGAAAATTTCACTTTCATAATTATCCGCACCCCCAAGATGTTCATTTCCCATCCTTGCAATAATATATAATTATTAGAAACTACACTAAAACTTTAAATTGACAATTTAATTACCTTCCCAGGCCAAAAATTGAAATAAGATTTATAGTTTTATTATCCTTGTGCAAGGTAAATTGGTAGCATTCTTTTCAACATCAATATGAATTTGGATATGTTAGTATCATTTTCTTGACTTTTTTTTCTTCATCTCCGATCACTAGCTATTTTATAAACTCATTTCCTAAAATATTGGAAGTGCTTTTTTCAATATTTAGTACTTATTTTTGACTGCTTATTTCCTGGAGTGTAGTAGAGAAGTTATTGGTTGCATAAAATAAAGGCATATACAAACAACAGAATTTTTTCACTGTAAATTATATTCCATAATTAGATCATGCATTGCCAAAAAGGCTGGCCCCTAGTTGCAAGTATTTTTTTTTTTACTGACACGTACACTCCCCTGACATTGATCACCGGAATTTTATAATTACACAATGTCGATCATTTTTTTTTACAAGTTTTACG